CATCATGATAGAATGTTATTGTGACGCACGAAACATGTATAAATATATGTACTGTCTCTTTAAGAATCCAGTGTGCTCTGTGTGTTTCTTCTGACTTCACGCAGGCAGCAACTCCTTTCTGCAGAAAGAATAAACCTCACGCTCCGTTTTGAGCTAAAAGAGAAATGTCTCTGGTTTTCTTTTTATTGAGTTTTTTAAAGTTTAGAACAATTATTATTTTCCACAACGTCAAAATATGACCACAGTGAATTGTCGGGCATCCAACAGGGATGAGTCATGCCAAGTTTCGTGCATTTTGGTCTTTCAATGTGAAAGTTATAGTGTTTGGAAATTTATGGCATGAAGCAAAACTTTGAGTCCTGGCCATGCCCCTTTAACATATACAAAAACACAAGCTTAAGATAACTTTGACTCTCCAATGTCTTAAGGGCATGTCAACCAAGTTTGAAGGTAATCCTTCAAAATCCCTAGGAAGAGTTTGTTAAAATTTGCAAGTAGAAACGCCCAAAAATGACCTTTTGACCCAAAATGGCTGACTTCTTGTTGGTTTTGGCCCAGGGCTCCAAGAGACTTTTTCATAGGACCTGAGAAGACACAGATGTTCACCGAGTTTCAGAATTATCGGTCAAAAAAATGGCACAGGGCTGAGGTTTTAAAATATTCTAGGAGGTGCTATGGAGGCTATTGGCCACTTATCATGGCTTCCTGTTCAAGGGGTGGATAATGATCGATCATACTGATTTTAGTGCACCTCGGTTCAAAACTGTGGAATTTAGAGCCAAACGTATGGCGACGGTGTTACGTCTTACTTCACCACGCCGTGCCGCCCACATGCTCCACCCAAAACTGTCAGTGTTAGAAAGCAAGTTACACCAACATGTCTTCGGTCACTGGACACACTGTCATGCTGATCAGGTCAGATAAGGATTGTTCAACGTCAGACTTTATACTTCCTGTTATCATGGGGCATAGCTTAAGTGATATCATGATATGACCATTCAGTCTTGCAGGGGACAAGATGTGGATCAATGACTGAAGGTTTGATGTCTCAGACAGTTTTCTTGTAGGAGCTATTAGCATTTCCTGATGCATGCTCAATAATCCAGGTAGAAAAATCCAAAAAAGTTCAATCTGGTCCTCTGGACATTCAAAAAAAAAAAAAAAAAAGCAAAAAAATATAGAAACGTTTCGTCTTTCATCCAAGAGACTTCCTCAGTCTGAGGTGCTGTTTTCAGCTCAGTCTCTTAAATAGCACCTTCTCAGAGTGGATCAACCAGTTTGCTGCTGACAACCAAAACCAGCTGATCACATGCTCAAGAAGGACCATCAGCCTAACAATGGATCAGTAGCACACTGATGGCTGTTTACTACTCACAGAGGGCTGAGTGATACTAGCAATCACAGCATTGTAAGAGGGGGACAGTTGAACCCGGAGGCCTCCACCCCTGTTTAATGATGGACGATTTCTTTTCACAAAGATGGCCTCCTTTACTCCTCTCTCAAACCATTGTTCCTCTCTGTCCAGGATGTGAACATCTTCATCCTTGAAAGAGTGACCGCTGGCCTGGAGATGAGTGTAGACTGCAGAATCCTGGCCTGATGATGTTGATCTTCTTTGCTGGGCCATCCTTTTGGCCAGTGGCTGTTTTGTTTCCCCGATGTAAGACTGATCACAGCCCTCCTGACACTGAACAGCATACACAATATTACTTTGTTTGTGCCGGGGGACTGGATCTTTGGGATGAACCAGTCTTTGCCGTAATGTATTTTGGGGTTTAAAAGCCACTGGGACGTTATGTTTAGAAAATAAACATCTCAGTTTCTCTGATACTCCCTCAACATACAGAATGACCACTGGTCTGGGTCTGGGTTCCTCCTTTTCACCTGATGGCTGACTGGAGTCCTGTTTGGGTTTTTTCTCTGCTTTCAGGAAGGCCCAGTTAGGATATCCACATTGCTCTAGAGCCTGTTTTGTGTAGGATTTCTCCTTCTGCCTGGCTCCCGAGTTAGTGGGGATGCTGTCTGCTCTGTGATACAGAGTCCTGATGACTCCTAACTTGTGCTCCAAAGGGTGATGGGAGTCAAACTGCAAATACTGGTCTGTGTGGGTGGGTTTGCGGTACACCTCGGTTTGCAATTGTCCTCTATCAGAGACTGAGACCTCACAGTCCTCTTGGATGAGAGACGAAATGTTTCTATATATTTTTGCTTTGTTTTTTTTGTTTTTTTGAATGTCCAGAGGACCAGATTGAACTTTTTTGGATATTAGCGTTTCGTTTTTCATGGCGAGTTGTCAAACTTTGAGGTCTGGCCCCGCCCCTTCAGCATGCTCCGTAACGAACCATTTAGATAACTTTGCTTCCCCCATGGCTTTTGACCAAAATGGCCAAGTTTGAAACCGATGGAGTGAAATCCCTAGGAGGAGTTTGTTCAAATGCGGAGGCTGTAAACCGCCAAAAAGGTGTGAAAATTGGACCGGCATTCCAAAATGGCCACCTTCCTGTTTATCGTACAACGTTGTTGCCAGAGGGTTTTCTGTGCATCTTGGGGAATTGGACAAGCATACCAAATTTCATGTTTCTACGACAAACTAAGGATAATGCGGAGGGTATTTTGAAAATTTCTAGGTGGAGCTCCTGATTAGTTTCTGTTGCGATTTTTACCACGCCCTTAAAATACATAATTTTTCAGCAGTCCTGATGCGTCTGCCAAATTTGGTGATTTTTGGGATATGTTAAGGCCCCCAAAACGCCAATTCATTTGGCGGAAAAAATTGTAGCTCGGGCCTGAACAGAGCGATTACAATAGGCCTTCGCAGCGCTTCGCTGCTCGGGCCTAAAAACAGGAACATGTCAGCGTTGGTTTTTGCCATGAACTTACTAACAGTTGTTTAAAATCCCTTAGAGAGGTCAAAGTTGACAACTTCAGATCTTTTTGAAAGGATTTCCAAGTTACAGGAGCGGGGTAAGAGAAGACCCTTTCGCCTAGTTCGGTTTAAACACAGGAAATCTCAAAATGTCATGTTTGTTGTTTATGTTTGTCAAAAACAGAAACATTAGTTTATTCATAATCTTGTCTCTCAAACATATTTATTTTAAACAAAACATAATATTTCACATACCATTTTAATGTTTGAGATACTTTTATTTATGTATATCCCTTCAGTTAAATCCTAATTTATTACAAAGCATTGTTAAAGATTAAACACACACACACAAAGCGATGAATTAGAAAATTGTAATGTTTTACAAAAATCCAAGTGTTTTACAAATAAAAAAAAACTATTATTATAATACAATAAAAAAAAAACGTATGTAAAAGTATGCTTGAAAATCTGTTTTAAAAGCATGACTGAAGGCAAACAAATATTTATTAAGTTTGATATGAAATGACCATGTAAAAATGATGGCAATTAAAATGTCAGAATCCTTTGTAGGAATGCAAGCACTTTGCTATGTTTTTCAGAATAAGTTTGATGTTGACTTTCCTATCATATTCTTTTTTGTGTTTCTTTCTGGTTTAAGTATCATAATATAACATTTTGGTATAAAGATACAAATCAGCAGTCCAAAACTAGAAGCAAGAATGGCAAAGATTTCTACAGCAACACTAAATTTCCCAGGAGAGCTGACATACGCTGGGATGAAAGTGATCCAGACTGCACAAAATATCAGCATGCTGAAGGTGATAAATTTAGCTTCGTTGAAATTATCCGGCAGTTTCCGAGCCAGAAAAGCAAAAATTATACACAACATGGCAAGAAGTCCAATGTACCCAAGCACAGACCAGAAGCCTACAGCTGAGCCCAGAGCACACTCCAAGATGATTTTATCTTTAAATGCTTTAAAGTTCTTGGATGGGAAAGGAGGAGAAATTGTTATCCAGAGGATACAAATGATCACTTGTATAATAGTTAAACCCAAAACACAGAGTCTCTGTTGTACAGGCCCAAACAGTTTCATCACATTAGTGCCTGGAAGTGTAGCTTTGAAGGCCATCAAAACCACCATTGTTTTCCCCAAAACGCAGGAGATACAGAGGACGAAGGTGATGCCAAAAGCTGTGTGACGGAGCATACAGGACCACTCAGAGGGACGTCCAATGAAGGTCAGAGAGCAGAGAAAACACAGAGTCAAGGAGAAAAGCAGCAGGAAGCTCAACTCAGAGTTGTTTGCTCTGACAAGAGGAGTTTTTCTGTGTCTGAAGAAAATGACAGCGACAGCAGCAGTCAGACATGTTCCAAATAAAGAGGCTGTGGTGAGGAGTATTCCCATAACTTCTTCATGTGATAGAAACTCTGCCTTCTTTGTTACACAGGCATCTCTTCTGTTGTTTGACCAGGATTCAAGAGGACATCTCACACAGGTGACAGAGTCTGAAAATTAATGTTTAAAACTGTTTAGTTCTTTGTATTTGATATTCATTATATGAGATGACAGCATGGTATCTTAATGTAATATTTTCCCTTTTAAGTATCTGAAAGTAAACACATCTAAAATCTCTAGATTTCCATTTGGAAGTGGTTTTTCTTGGTTCCTATTTTAAATATGTAGATGCATGAAGGCCCTTTTTGAGTGCTTACTCATTCAAGTAAAAGTAGAATATGTAAAGTTCCTTTTTAGAGCAGTTTTAAAATAAAAAAAAATGAAAGTGCTTTACAATAAGTAATGAAACACACATAATAATGGATACATTATCAAAAAGATGGCTTTTTTAAAAAAGACAGCAGATTCCAAAAGTTTCAGGTTGAGACGTAGTGAGTTCCAGAATCTGGGGGCAATGTTTGCCAATGTTCTGTCTTCTTTTGGTTTTAGCCCTCTGAAGTTGCACAGCCAGCAGACCCTGATGACAGGACCTGAAGGGTCTAGCAATGATGTAATAATTTTAAAGCTCCTGGTAAAAAAAAAAAATGAACATAAATATAAAAAGTAAGAAAGTAGATACAACAGGAACATGAAAGGCCCTGAAACAGAACCTCATGGGTCAGGTTCCATGAAGCTCAAAGTTTTTTTGGGGAAATATATCACTGCTTCTACAACATGAATGTCAAATTCCAAAATTGTCATTGGACTGATAAAAAGAACTAAAGCTAGAAATGGATGTGAATGATATTAAAACTGTAAACAAATATAAATCATATTCATGTACCTGTTGTGTTGCTCATTTCTCCCTCTGCACATCGTATACAGTCATAGCAGCAAACAGGTTTTCCCTTCTGGAGAACTTTTCGTGTTCCTGGAGGACACTTCTCACTGCAGACTGACACAGGAACCTGCATAAATCAAAAGTATAACTTAAATAACGATTGACAATTTATTCATCAGCCTATATTCAAATAAAAAAAAGAAAACAAAAAAAGTGTTTAGCTATAGAATATACTCATTTTAAAAGTTTTTTTTTTTTTTACCTGCAAGGAATTTTGTGTCCAAATCAGAGTTCGATTTTGCAAATTCATTTGTTTGTCTTCAGGTAAAGATGCATCATAAAGACCGACTGTGACAAACTCTGCGTGACCATTTTCTCTTGGCTGCCAGTTTATAATTTCATATTTTGCTGCTGGATCTCCATTCCTGTTGAAGTAAACCTCATCTCCTTCTTTTGTTTTGAAGTTAACCTTTTGTATGTGCTGTAAAATCTGGAAATGTAAGTATTAACATAGAAAATGAGAGATAGTCCTGGAAGTTGTTTGCCAAAATATGTTATTTGCTATTTATTTTTCATTAAAAAAGAAAATCATTCATTTGATGTAACAACTGTCATTGATATAAGGCTCACCATGAATGGATCGAGCTGCACATTACTGTCACATGTTTTATTACAGCTGAGAATAACATGCAGAGCATGGGCCACTGCATACACTCCTTTATACACGTTATTAAAAATGGGCATGAGAGACATGTCAGTGAAGCTGTTTTCCACTCCAGTCAGATCCTCATGTCC